AAGAGTGTTTGTTTGTTTTTTTTAAAAAAGTGAAACTAAATACTTTCTTAATAGTTAAACAACATCCGAATGAAGCAGAATTTTCTACATTTTCACATTTCAGGGGCTGCTGCTTTTTCAACTAACCCAAACCACAGATTTTTCACAATTTTTTCACTCTTGTTGCCTGAAAAAGAAAAAAAAGTACATTTTGGATCCACGTAGAAAAGCTTTTTTTGCCTCCCCAGCCCCTGGGTTCCACCCACTGAGCTGCAATATCCCATTACTCACAGGGTTTGGCAGATGTGGATGTGACCAGCCTGGTGTGCAACCAGCAGATCTGCCCTGCCTGCTAATCCTGCGCTGATGGAGGCAGCCACTCGGAATTGTCAGCAAACATAATCCCTTCCCCATCTCCTGAATCAAGTCCAGAACCAGAGGAGCCAGCAAGGAGTTGTTAAATATTCCTTGGCCAGCTCAAATGCTGGAGCAGCTCAAGAGCAGAAGGAGAGATTTACTTGGGGATTTCAGAGCCCGTTTTTGACACTTTCCATGGTTCAGGCTGGTGCCCATTCGGGGAGGGGGAAACAGCCCTGATTTTAACAAAAGCAGCTCCACTTTGGTAGGAAATCAGCAGGGTAAGGATGCTGAGGGGTAGGACGCTTCTGGAACCTCCTCCTGGGCTGGGTGTGGAGCAGCAGTTCTGTTCTGCACCCTTTGGCAGCATGAGCTCTTCTGCTTGGGCAAGAAGGATGGCTTTGCACCATCTCCTCCACAGTTCAGATGGCTTCCCAATGCTGTGTGGACCCCAAGAGCTCCTGAAACAGGCCAGGAGGTGGCTGGGCTACGTGTCTCTCTGTAGCAAGACCTGGTTGCCCAAAGGATCTGGTTGAGAAGCCCTAGACTGACAGCTGTACAGATCTCTGCATCTTCAGAGCAGATCTTGGCTAGAGCAGACGCAAGCAGGGAACCAGGGATGAGAGGTCCTCTCTGCAGGATGAAAGGACAGCCCCCCTCTCTAGCTGAATTTCCCATCTCTTACCATACTGGGGTGGTTAGATATACCAGTCACAAAAGAGGAGACCACACTCAGGTGCTTCTCATCTCCTGCTTCCCTGCTTCCCTCTGTCCTTGAAGCATGAAGTGCTTCCAGCACAAGAAACAGATGCCCAGGGGCTGCATGATACCAGCAAAGCCACCTCCTGTAATGAAGATACAGCCTCACACAGCATGTCAGGCTGAGGAGATTTCAAAGGCAGGTTGAGATCTTAAATGTCTCCTTGACACCCCTGGCAAAATCTGCTTCCATGGAGGGAGACATTGAAAAGCCTCACCCTGGGGAGAGGGAGTCTGGCCAAACACGAGAGGTTTTGCATCCTTTGGTGTGGTGAGAGCAGCACGGTTGGTGAGTGAGAGCCCCAGGGGAATCAGAGCAGAGTGCTGGGGGGTTCCTACACCCCTCCAGGACAGAGGCTGTCAAGAGAGACCTCTCCAAAGGCAGCCATCTGGGAACTGTGCTCCAGGTGCCCGTAATAAGCTGTTCCTCCCAGTGCAATAAGTAACAGTGCAAATCCAGCTTCCCTGCCCTTCTTCTCACCCTCACCTACATTCCAGTTTGCAAACAGAGGAGCAGGGGTTGGACCAAAGTTCCTCATTCTGTGTCAGTTATGGTCAGAGCCCAGGCCAGGCAGCCCAGACCCCACAGTTAACTCCAGGAAGGTTGGTTTGACAGTAACAAGTGACATATCTCTGTGCTGGTTTCCTTTCAGTTCCTCCAGATGATCCTGTCATCATGGGGGGTCCCATCATCAGCCTGAGAGCAGGAGACCCCCTCAACCTGACGTGCCACGCAGACAATGCCAAGCCAGCAGCTTCCATCATGTGGTTGCGGAAAGGGGAAGTCATCAATGGAGCCACCTACTCCAAGGTGAGGCAGGGTGGGGCTGGGGGCACACACCGTGCTCTTCCCTTGCTTCAGAAAGGTGTACCAGACCTGGAACTGCTCTTCACACAGTCCCAGAACATCTCAGGCAGGGCCTGCACCTCTGCAGAGCTGATGCTCTCACCCTACATCACCCCATAAAACCATCCTGGTGGAGAGGCTGGAAGGAAAGCAAAAGGATGCAAGTGAGAAACTACAAACTGTCACCAAAACAGGTTCTGCTCTGAACTTTGATGCTTTTTATGCCCTCACAGCTTAGAGCTGCCTGAAAATCCCCTTTCTTCCCCCAAAATCCCACCTGAGTGTGGTGGTAATGTTGTGCTCAGCACCACACCACCTTGGCCTTGGCTGTAGTGGACCCTCTGGATGGAAAGGTGGTTGCATTGACATATGTCTCCTCCTCCAGCTGCAATTCTCCATGAAAAATTGTCAGGGTTGTTGGCATTTTTTAGTTCAAATTGAAAGCTTTTATTGGGTCATAAAGGAAAACATCAAAGAGCAATCAAGAGTGTACTCAGAATGGGTGCCCACACGTCCTCCTGTTTATAAGTGCCTGATGTCTAGTAAGTGCTAAAGATTCAGTCACACTTGACATTTCTAATGAACATTTCTGAGCAACAAGATGTAAGACACAAAATGGGTCAGTTTGCAGCCATTTGTAATGCAAGAAAACTTCAAAGCCTGAAGTCAAAGGCATTCCCCTCTCCAGCTCAGGCAGATCTTTTAATAAACATTTCACAACATTTTACCCCTCTGAAGCCTCCACCAAGCTTTGTTCCACCCACACCCTGGTGGACTTGGGAAAGCAGAGGAGCCCAAGCAGCCTCGTCCTTGTCCCTGATCTCTCAGCAGAAGCTGAGCTGCCTCCTGGTAGCTGGTGAGTGTGAGCACAGGAGGAAGTTGTCCCCTCTCCATGCTTGCAGTGCAAGAGGCAACGCTGAGCCAGGGAGATGAAGTGGAATTAATTAAAAGCCAGGCCGTTGATGTGCAGTTGCTTATAATTTATTTCTTTCACCCCAAGCCTTCCTCTCCACTGCAGACCGCTCAGACCTGGCCCTGGGGAGCCAATGTTTAAGTCTTGTCCCCTTCAGGTGCCCAGGTCGTGGGCAGCAGAGAGGGAAAAAAACGCCCCTCCTTGCCTTTTCTTTATAATAATTCCAATTTTAAAAAAACCTTCCAAAGCAGAGTTTCCCAAGCTGCAGCTCCACCTGACATGCAGGACAGACATTTCCATGGTGTTTTCAGCAGGTGTCAGGGCTGGTTTGAGAGGGGACTCCTGTTCTGCATGGAGAAAGCACCTTCCCCCTGCTCAGAAACCTCAGTTTCTGATGCTGAACCTCAGTTTCTTCTGACTTTTGCTGTGGTTTTCCATTAGTCCCTTCCACAACCACATCCCTGCAATGAGCAGGGAAAGGGGGGCTTTGGGGCCAGGTCAGCCAGTACCAGCATTGTCACCTTGTCACTTTGTGTTTTGACTCAGGTTTTACAACAATGCTCTCGATCCCCTTGCCCTGCCACCCAGGGAGGGAGGGAGAGGGAGGAAAAGACAAAGACTCGACTGGTTTGAAAACTCAACTACACAGCTTTAATTCAGCATCAATGATAAAAGAAATAGATACAGTTACATACAACTATGTTCAGATATGGGCAAAAGCCTCTCGCCTCCCCCCAGCCCAGCAACTGCCACAGGATCTGCTGAGCTGGGAACAGCCCTGAAAAATCCCAAAGCGCTGCTGGAGAAAGCGCAGAGTGATGAGGGTCAGGAGAGCCGGAGCCTGGGGGTCCCCGGGGAGGGATGGACGGAGTCCTCCGCGGGCGCCGGTCCTGGGTGGAGGAGGAGGGAAGAAGCAGCAGGGAGGAAGTTGTCTTGTGTGCTCTCTGTCCTTCCTCTGAGCTCACGTAGCTCCATGGAATGGAATCTCTCTGGCCAGTTTTGCTGTCTGTCTAACTCAGCCTCCTTCGGAGGGTCAGAGATCTCCCTGTAGCGTCTGAGCCGGCAGAGTGAAGGTGCGACCTTGAAGCCCCAGCAGTTAGAGACACATTCCACTGTTCTCACTGCTAGTTGGAACACACTGCTGCTGGTGAAAAGAAGGCTTCCTGAAGAGGAAAACAAATAAAAACTCAATAAAAGGAAAATTGGCTTCATCCTGGCTCAAACCAGGACACACCTGAAGTGCTGTATTTCCCACTCACGCCCAGGAAACCCCAACTTGAGCATTTTTGTGGCTTTCTGAACCTTGTCATCCAAAAAACCAAAACAAGCCTTAAAAAAAAGACAACGGCAAATTTTGGAATGGGAGGGTTTGATTTTGGGGGTCCCTAGAGCCACAGGGAATATTATAGGATCCTGCAGGGGCTGGAGGCTGATCCAGAGCTCAGGGGCACTGGGGGAGGAAGGTCCTGCACAGGTTTAGGGCTCACCACATCCTCAGCTCCAAAAGCAGGGCTGTTCCACAAGGGAAGGGCACACAGGGGGACAATAAAGCAATACAGGGCAGAATCCTCACCACCAAGGGCACAGCACCAGCCCAAGAGGAGCAGAGCAGGTTTGGTGGTCACAGAAGGCTCAACCACAGCATAGCAATCTCCAGAATCTCTGTAGTGATGAGGCAGCTCTGAGGCCAAGCCAGGAAGTCCAACGCGCATCACCACACCTAAAGCAAGGCTTAAGCTAAACCAGAGCTTAACTGCAGCTCCTGTGCCTGTGAGTGAAGAGCCTGTGGGCAGAAGCCTGTGATGAGGTTTGTCAGGGAAATCAAGGACTGTTGGTGCACTCAGTCCCTGTTGATCACATGCTAATAGGTTTGGTGCTGCTTCTCTCCAGCTTCTGGGCTGATGGTGGTGACAATTTCTCAGCATGGTTCCTGTGCCTGATGTTCCATTGTGCCTGATGGAAGCACAAATCTAGATGCATGAATGCTGTGTCATGATGAAGCCAGGTGGGGAAAGCATTAGTCTTGCTGCCATATGTTTATAATTCAATAAAACACTTGTTTTACGTTGTGAGAAGGAAACTTGAAGGATACAGACTTGGAGAGAAAAACTGCCTGGCAGGTCCAGATTACACAGTTATGGGTGTAGCTGTGGGCATCCATCACTGTTATCAACAGCAGGGAAGAGCTGAGTTCCTGGCATTTCTGGTCCCCTGAGAATGCTGATAAACCAAAGAGAGGTCAGAGGCAAGCCCAGAGAATTATTAAAAGCTTGAAAACTATGCAACATCTTGAGAGCCTCCCAAGAAGTTCATCAGCTTAGTTTACAGGGCTACAGGGTGGTAAGAGGATGGTCTGTAAGGACGTGCAAGAGGATGAGGAGCTGGATAAGGCAGGGCTCCCAGGCTCACTAGTCAGGTAAAGGCACAGCACCATGTCTGGAGTCAAATCTGATGAGACCAGGGAAAAAGAAGGGTACCAAGGCTGAGCAAATAGAGCTGGTTAACCACTGCTGTACCAGGTTTGAGGTTTTGGATCTCAGGCATCCTCAGATGTCCGTCACAGTGCTGGTCTCCATGAGGTGAGCCAGAGCAATGATGATTACCCATGGACCACTGAATGGCAGCCAGTGTCACCACTCACTGCTACATAAAGTGGCCCAGGCAGCTTTTTGCACTCCCCTGGCAGAGGTACAGAAGGTGGCAGCAGGTTCAAGAAACTGGTTGCCTCATCTGCGCCCTGGCTCCCTCATTCCAGGGACAGTGGGTGACACGTGTCTCTCTGGAACTGTGATTCCCAGGCCTTGGCACAGCAGAGCAGGAGGGAAGCAGATGGGAGTTAAAGTGCCCAATTCCCAGGGAAGTGCAGTGAGATGTGTCTGCAGTTCCCCTGAGGCTCCTGGGCAGGTTCCAGCCAGAGGAGCTGGTGCTGCAGAGCAGCTGGTGGGAGCGTGGGCTGAGCCACGTCTGCAGAGCCTGGCAGGGCTGGGGCTGCTCTCCTGCAGGAAACTGCCTTTCCTCATCTTTCCTTCTCCCCCACAGACTCTTCTCCGTGATGGCAAGAGGGAGAGCATCATCAGCACCCTTTTCATTGCCCCCTCAGACATCGAGAACGGGGAGAGCATTGTCTGCCATGCCACCAACAAGGCCATTCCCAGCGGGAAGGAAACCTCCGTCACCATCGACATCCAGCGTGAGTGCGAGGCCAGCCCGGCTGGCCCTGGGTCAGGATCCCAGCCTCCTCACGGGCTGCCCCTGGGGGTCTCACCCCAGCCGGGAGTGGAATGCTGGGGCTTGGGGGTTTCCCTTTACTGGGATTTACTGGTACATTACTGCGGTGAAGTCTGAGACAGGAGATCTCACAGAATCACAGAATCATTTTGGTTGGAAAAGACCTTCAAGCTCATCAGGTCCAACCACTAACCCAAGTACTGCCAAGGCCACCACTAAACCGTGTCCACCACATCCACACAGCTTTTAAACCCCCCCAGGGATGGTGACTCCACCATGGCCCTGGGCAGCCTGTGCCAGGGCCTGACAACACTTTCAGGGAAGAAATGTTCCTGATATCCAATCAAAACGTCCCTGGGCACAATTCGAGACCATTTCTTCTTGTCCCGTCACTTGTTCCTGGGGAGCAGCGCCTGACCCCCCCTGGCTCCAACCTCCTCTCAGGCAGTTGCAGAGCCAGAAGGTCTCCCCTCAGCCTCCTCCTCTCCAGGCTAAACCTCCAGCTCCCTCAGCTGCTCCTCCTCACACTTGTGCTCCAACCCCTTCCCCAGTTCATCTCCCCTGAGCTCCCTGGGGCAGCAGGGACACAAACACCCCCAGACAGGCTGCTGGCCAGCTTTAACATCTTGTGTCCGTACGTTTCATAGAATCATAGAGTGGTTTGAGTTGGAAGGGACCTTAGAGATCATCCAGTTACAACCCCCTTTCATGGGCAGGGACACCTCCCACTATGACCAGGTTGCTTCAAGCCCCATCTGACCTGGCCTTCCAAAAAAGGTGGCACCAGTTGCCATGTCCTGGGTGGCTGGTGAGATGTGCCCTGACCCAGGGCTGTGGAGCAGGGATAGGTTCCAAGTGGTTTAGGCTGAGCAAGCAGCATCTCTGGACACAGCCAGTAGTAGAAAAAGGCCCATTAAGATTTCTGGTACAAACCCACATGTTTCCAGTCCTACAAGCTGCTCAATGGTAAGTTTTTTGTATTGTTCTCCACTGAGATAGCAAGTTAGACACCTCATTGGTGGGAAGGCTCCCTCCTATGAAGTGCAGCTAGTGTCAGTCACCATCTTATGGGGACAGATGTGTGTCAAGAGCCAGATGATTTACCCTTTGCTGTAGAAAAGCAAAACCTTCCTTCCTCAACAAGTCATTTTTCTCTTCCCTCCTTCTCTGCCATAGCTGTTGCTCTTGGGCTCATCCTGACTGCCCTCCAGCCGGGCTTCATTTGCACACACAATTCCTGCAGCTGTATTTACCAACAATTTGAAAATGCAGGGTGTTCAAAATTAGCATGCCAGCTGCTTTCCAGAGTCCAATTAAAACTGGATGAACAAACTCAAGCACAGCAGAAAATTCACCATTTAAGACTTCCAGCTTTTGCTGCCGTAAGATTAACAGGCTCTTGGGTCGCTGGGTAGCATGTCCTGACAGGACTAGGCAGATAAAATGAGATAATAGCAGGGGTTATTTCACAGCCAGCAAACAGTTACAATAGCTGGAGAGGCACACGTGTCCACACACATAAGGCAGAGCTGGAGACATCACTACACTGCACTGAGCGCGGGGCGGGACGTGAGCTGAATCCCTCAGCCCAGCAGAAGCTTTGGAAAGAGAAAGCCCCAGTAAAGAACATCAATTTCCCCTCTGAGCCATTAAATACTCCATGCTGTGAAAGTAGTAATAATAATATCCTAGCCAGCTCTTAAAAGTAGGTTGTTCTTAATGGGGTCTAACAAGGATCTCAGTTTCCCAGTGCTGAATGGGTGATGTAGGGGTAGAAAAATCCCAAGATGGATTAACCAGTCTGTGTGGGGTGGATTTCATCCTGGATGCACAAGCCTGCTCTAGCTGCTGCCTAGTCCATCAGGTGTCACTCCCAGCCTGGTAGGCAATGGCCTGCTTTCACTTTGCAAAAAGCTAGAAGTACATTTCCTTAAGCCACTGGTTTCTCCTGGGGAGCCAGCCTGGGTAAGGCTGGCTGCAAGGGCAAGGCAGGCTGTGTGCCCCCCTGCACCACCCAGGCTGTGAGGGGAGGTCCTTCCTCTGGGTCATCTTCCAACAGCTAGCAGAGAAGCAGCACCTTGGGGGAAAAAAGAAGTGGTTTCTACAAAGATAAAGAGGGTAGGCAGCAGGTTTTGGCTGGTGAGCTCTCCCCAGCCCAGCACAACCTGCTGTGTTTACCCTGGAGCCTGCACATCTCTTGCCTTGCAAAATAATCCCAGGGAACCAAAAATAATCCCTCCCAAGAAGCCACAGCCTGTAAATCATTCCTCCTGCTTTCCTTTTCTTTTGCAACCCAAAAGAGCATAAATAACATTCACATGCAGCAAAGAAAGTCAGGGTGGGGGTTGTTCCCTGTGCAGGGTGGGAGTGTGTAGGGGGAGAGAATGTCCTTGTTCAGCTGATGCAAAGGTGAGGTTTGGGTCTCACCAACCCCATGCCTGACCATCTTAGCAGGACTGAAATAGCTGAGTCATAAAATGCCCCCCTTCCAAAGGAAAAAAATAAAAAGAAAAAAAAAAAGAAAAAGAGGGAAAAAAGGAAACTGGAAAAAAAATCCCACAACCAAATCCCAGAGCAGGGTCTGTAATGGAAACACTAAGCGACTCCAGCTGGAACATCTGTTCAATGTGATTTCCGTTCCACCAGCCACATCAAAGTCAGCCTCTTGTGAGTTATGCACCGAACATCACAAGTGGGATTAAAATCATGTTTAATAGTTTGATATGCCATAAACTATTTATCCTGCCAGAGCCCAGTGGCTCTATGGAAAGGCAGATCCAGCGTGCCGGGCTGGGGAGCAGAGTTGCTGCTCATCAAATCTGTTTGCTCCAAGCCTCTGCACACACACATGCAGTTGCTCATTTTTACACCTTTTTTTCATGGCAAGAAAGGATTTGAGTGCATCTGTATTTTTGCGGGAGGTGGCAGTAGGAGAAAGTGGAGGGTCTGTGGAGGAGGGTGATGAGCAAGGTCCACGTTGTTATGTTGGAGGCCTCATGGAGTGTTTCTCCTTGTAGAATCTGAGTGGTTGATTCCCTTTTGTGCTTTGTGGCAAAGCCCAGAGCCAAGCAGGCATCTTAGTCTGCTACCAGCTCCTCATTCCTCCTCATTTGACCCAAGGGCTGCTTTTGGATTCAGGGTAGAGGTTTGGAAGGGCTTGTCTGGATGGGAGAGCATTGTGGAGAGGGCTCTGGATGTATCCAAGGGACAGCGTGGTGCCTGCTGCCTGTGGAGCTCAGCCCAGGATCCCAGCGATCGTTTCCCAGGTGCTGATGGAAAATAGTGGGAGCTGAGGGATTTCCTCAGGTGTCTCATGGACTGCACAGCTGGTGGGGAGTGATTCTGGTCCCCTGGGGTGAGTGTGCCCCAGGGATTCATGGTTTGTAGAATCGTTGAGTTGTTTTGGTTGGAAAAAGCGTTCAGGCCATCAAGTCCCACTGTTACCCCAGCCCTGCCAAGGCCACCACTGACCCATATCCCTCAGCACCACATCCACACGGCTTTTAAATCCCTCCAGGGATGGAGACTCCACCACTGCCCTGGGCGGCCTGTGCCAGGGCCTGACAACCCTTTCAGTGAAGAAATTGTTCCCAATATGCAGTCTAAACATGCCAGCATTTGCATGCACGCTCTCCTCCCGCCTGCCTGTAGGCTGGCTCTATCTGATTCCATCATTCAAATTAATTACAAGAAGCCAGGCAGGAATTATAATTGTAAGCGAGTGGAATTACATTCTGATGAGTTACAATTTGTCTCTTTTTTTCTCTTTTTTTTTTTTTTCCCTCTTCTCTAAAATACCCCAAAACACCCTCACACACCCCAGCCCACACTGTCCCGCTGCCTCCCTGGGAACCTGCCGGGCTATTAGAAAGTCCGATCCCGTTTGTGAAAGGCAGGATCAAAGACTTTAATTCATTTCCTTTGCTCTTTTTGGGTTTTTTTCTCTTTTTTAATCTCTTTATTTTTTTCTTTCGAGTGCAGGAGGGAGCCAGGCTCATTTTAATACAAAGAGGCTCCTCAGTAAATCGTAGGCACAGCTACTAAACCATCAAACAATGGGGAAGCTACTGAAGAGAAGTGTGATTCATAGTTAACAAAGGAAGGTGATTAGCTGTTGTTGTCTAACAATAAGGAAGTGTCAGGATGCCTGCAAATGAATTAGGAGCCCACTTTATATCTCTGGGCTGTTACCTTAGGGAAGCTCATTTATATTCCCAGCTGCACCATCTTTATTGCCATTCGAATGGCACATTTTAAAATGAGATTAGGGTCAATTGAAAATACCTGTAATTTCCCTGGCATCATCTCCCCCAGGGGGCCAGGTGGCTTTGCTCCCAACGCATTGAGGTTCTGCCTGGGTGGGTGTCACAAGGTGAGGACCCAGCAGAGGAGCAGGAAGCAGCAGGTAGAGGGTTGCAGAGATCACATTCTATTTTCAGGTGTATTTTCACACGCGCTGCATCAGACTCCCTCCTCCCTCCCTGACGGCAGGAGAGCCCCTCAGCTGGACCCATGAGCTGGCCTCAGCTTCTCTCCACAGCACTGGTGCAGTCTCCAGCAGGACAACTGGTTCTTCAGGCACCTAGAAAACCTCTCCACAAGGCCATTTGCTTCTGCTTTTCCCCTCCAATGAGGTCCCATGCTGAAAACCTAAAGCTGGAGGGCAAACACCCCCTCTCGGGCATCATGAACATTTAAAACAACTCTGAATATTCTTATCCCCCCATCCAAACATTGCACCCTTTTCTCTTCTCACTTATTTTTAACTGGTTCTCTCCTAAATTTCGTTTTCCATTAAAGCATTTAGGTGCTTATCACATACAAAGGAGAAGAGAAACCCAGCACCAGTTGGCAGACCCAAAAGGCCTGTGACACCAATAAGGACCTGGCAGTGATGATTAGGCTGATGAAAGAGCAGAAATGGCACTTTCAAGTGAGCTGATAGACAAAAGATCATCATTACCCAGCATGATATTAAACGGGAGCTTTTCAAAGCAGACAAGTTGATTTCCTGGAACGGGAAGCAGAGCCAGAGCTGACATTTGTGAAGGGAAGTGCTACATCAGATGGTGTGCGTGGCTCCCGCTGCCTCATCTGCTGACACCTCCAAGATGAGCAGTGTGCCCAGCACGAGCCTGGCCAACATAGCAAGGACCCTCAAGGCTTTTCCCACGTTTCCTTACCACCAAATCTTGCATTTCCAGGCTCAGAAACCTGGCAGGCTGCAGGCAAGGGGTTGCTGTACCCTGTCTTCTGGTGGCTCATGGCTTGTCTCTCTGTTTTTGCAGACCCACCCCTGGTGAACTTGTCCGTGGAGCCGCAGCCAGTCCTGGAGGACAACACAGTGAAGTTTCACTGCTCAGCCAAGGCCAACCCAGCAGTCACCCAGTACCGGTAAGGCGGCTGCGCCGCTCACCAGCACCACACAGCTCGTTCCAGCCCTCCACTGACAGCTCCTCACATGCCCCACCAGGCAAAGTTCTTCCCTCCAGGTGATGCAGGAGTGCTCAGCAGCTCTGGCCGTGGTTTCTCGTGGCTAGTCCACTTGTTCACCACTGCTTGGAGGTCGCTCTAGCTCATCCAGCATGGCCTCTGCTGCCTTCCAGCTGGAGAATGCAATGGCTGGAGCCAGACACAGCCTCTGGCCCCTCAGAGCAGCAGAGACCTGGTCCTTTTCCCAGTGTTCCTGCTCCAACGGCTCCACAACACTGCTCTGGCCTTGATGAGGTTGTTCCATGTCGAGAGGCTCCAGTTGCCTCCACGTTAGACCCTCTGTGACGTTCTGTTGTGTGCAGCAAGTCCTTGGTCAGAGACTGATTGGTGGCTTGGAGAGGATGCTGAGGCCTGGCACTGAGCTGGTGGAGCCATCTGCTTGGGGACATAACGAGCAAAATGAGTGAGAAGTCAATTATGGGAAAATTCCTCTTTTTTTGCATACTCTTTTATTATTTGAACAACACGACTCCACTGCCATCTCCTTGTAATCCTTCAGCAATCTCTATAAGCTTCCCTAACCCCAGCAGCACGGAGCAGAGATGAGAAGGGGCCAGAGCAGAGGTGCTGGGCCTGAAGACATATGGGACATTCTCCTTGGGTGGGTTGTTACTGCCTGGGATCTTCAGTCCTTTCTTCAGTGAGCTCCAAGCAGTTGAGGGGCTCGTTTTGGCACTGATGAGGCCATTGCAGGAGGAGAAATGGGATCAGTTGCAGCTGCAGAAGGTCTGGGTGGAAGGCAGGGCTCGGGGCTCCCTGCCTGCACCCCGACACCGAGGCAGCCCCAACCCTCCTTTGACCACGAGTCATGCAGACACTGCAGGGATGGATGAGCAGTGGTGGCTGCACCCTGAGCTCCCTGTGCCCTGCTCAGGGGTCCCGTGCTCTGCAGCAGGTGAGCAGAGGGCTCTGCTCCCTGGGCTCCTGGCTGTGAGGGCTTTCAGCACAAGGGAACATGGCTTCTCTCTATGGTTTCTTGGTCGAAGCTGGCAAAAATATGGATATGGGGAGTGGGTTGGGTTGTCATCACCCTTTGGGAGGGGAGTGCGTGGTGCTGGGGCTCCAGGCTCCAGCTCGTGGTGAGGAGGGCCCGTGTCTGAGCCAGCACAGAGACAGTCACAGCAGGCAGGTCCCTGTCCCACCCTGCAGTCGCTCATTGCACCAGCCTGTGATCAGTCCTGGTGTTGCAGCAGCCTTGGTTGGTAATAACAGAGAAGACACCTCTGGGAACAGGTTACCATGACCCGCCTTCTGTTAGGGCTCCTACAGCTTAATTAGTACAACCAAGTTTGCTGGTAGGAACGATTCCTTCTGGCTGGATACCTGCCACCAGCCCAGCACAGCTCCTGGTTACACAGAAGAGTTATTAATTTGAGAAGTCAATTAATGTCAGAGATAAAAATAGCCCAAATTTCCTATTTACACTTAGGAGGAGAAGGAAGTGTATGACAATCTGGGGAAGGATCTGGGCAAACAGCCCAGATCAATCCTACACTGGGATTGATTCTGGTACAGTTGAAGGCAAAACCACCACCTTTGGTCAAGGAACCAGGTGATGACAAGAGCCTGGCATGATTTCTGCTCCAAAGACTGGGCATCAAGCTGTTTGTCAGCAACAGAAGCTTTCATATCACCCCTGAACCTACCCTGGGCTGATCCCTTGGACTGAGGAGCTGTCTTGAAGGCTCCCATCTGGATTTGCTCCTTCTTCTTGGCTGTTTCCACCCTCTGAGTTCATGGCCAAAGCAATGCTGGATTGCTTTGCTCCACCAAATAGCAGATGGACCCTCCTTGCTTCTCCCATCTTTGGTGCCATTTCATTAGTGCAGGGCTTTTGCTGCCCTCTGTAGTGGCAAATGCCACCCCCAGCCCTCTTCTTTCCTTCTCACTCACCCCAAGGCCATGTGTTGTGTCACCCACTTGGGACACCCAAGCCGGGAGCTCCCCTTTGCCAAGGAGAGAAGGTGGATGAAGAGGTGGGACATGTAAAGCCCCAGGACTGAGATACCTGGAGGTGTGAAAAGGCAGAACATGAGCTCAGTGTCATCCCCAGGGCCTCTCGGGACCCCCTCACTGGTGAAAATTAACTTCTTCTGCCTTAAAAACAAACAATTGAGAGAAAGTGTGATATTGTTTTTCTCCCCAGGGAAAGAACCACTCTAATATATCTCCTGTGGCTTCCCTCAACCTCAGATCTTGGAATTCAGCCGACATTTATTTTTAATACCTCCCAATGTGATTGTCAGTGAGCAGCTCTGACCACAAAGGGAGAGTGTCTGAACAGCATCAATCCAATTTTCTGGGCATGAATCCACAGGCAGCTCCGTGGGGCCACCCCTGCTGCCAGCACAGCAGGAAGGTGTCACCTGGCTGAAACTTGCAAAGGGTGAGAAGTTTGGCATCAGAATTGCAGCCTGGGTTTTTCTGGCTGGGAGAAGCAAATGAGGTCAAGCCTCTCACCCAAAGTGCTGGGCTGGGAAGCAGCCATGAACTGTGGACTCAGTCTCTCCATTAGGGTGGTAAGAGACAAGAAGCAAAGTTCAACATCATTTCCCAGAAGACAAAAATCTCCTCCTGCCCCCATCCAACCTCCTCCCCAGCAGAGAATGTAGCTTTGATGAAATCAAGGCAGCTGCTTTTTCCTGCAGAGGTTTGTGTCCTGTTCTCTTCCATAATACATCACATACGGGTGGGTTTTAATGCAAGGAAGCCCCAGGTAGAAAGGAGACCTTGAAGCAATCTGCTCCCACAGCAGAAAGGTGCAGCCTGCCCCACATCTTCTCTTCTGGGGGTGTTTGTTAATGTCAATGACATTTTTGTCAAAATTGACAGATTTCCACAAAGTGTTGGGCCTCAGTGGTGTTTTCCAACAGGATCAAAAGCCAGAAACCCTCAGCCTTAAAATGTGCTGATGTCTCATGATGTGAGGAAGCAGGGCTGGGACCGAGTGTCCCTGCCTGGAGACATAGCTCCCCTGCTCCTTTCTTAGCTGAGGACACCCTGAAGCTGGAGCTTCCTGACATGGGACAGGCCAGCGTCACCAAAAGGAAGCAGAGGGAGCTGGGCAGAGGTGTCACAGTGGTTATTTTTTTTTACTTGGGATGAACTAACCCTGGCAGCAGGTTTTTGCTCTCTTGCAGATTGAGCAGTCTTTGCACAGACACACCCTAGGTTGTCTCTAGGGTCTCACACCCCGTCTGGCCTGGGTTTATCCTGAGATCATGTTCCCTTTGTGGGTGAAGAGCGGCTCAGCCCACTGAAACACCACTCCACAGCTCCTTGCAGCTGCTGGGGCAGCATCCTGGAAGTGTTCAAGGCCAGGTCAAACAGGGCTTGGAGCAACCTGGACTAGTGGGAGGTGTCCCTGCCCATGGCAGGAGGTTGGAATGAGATGATCTTTAAGGTCCTTCCAACCCAAACCAGTCTGTGATTCTATGGTCTTCTGCCAGAGGAAGGCTCAAGGGGAGCCAGGCTGCTTGGCAGCACCACCATGGATTTGTCTCCATCTGCTTTAGCACTGGGGTTGTTGGGTTAAAGGCCCAAAAAGTGTCCCGGGGATGGGGGGAAGCTTCCTGGAGCTGCTGCTGGTTGGTTGCAGGCAGAGCATCCCACAGCCCCAGAACCAGGTTGGAGGAGTCGTGGCTGGGAATGCACAAGTGGGCAAATTGCACCCCCTCAGCTTCCCCACCAACCCCCATGGATGGAGCTGGGGGGGGGGGGGGGGGCGAAGGGGGATGCAATTTGGGAATTTAGTCATTTGCTGCAAGCAAATGGGCAAGAAATGGCAAGTGGGAGAGAGTAATCAGCTGTCGCTGTGATTCTGCAGGCTGTGATGAGGGATAAAATTAATGGAAAGCAACAGAAGTTGGGGGTACGTGAACCGACTCACAACCAACCTCCTCTTTGCTCCCTCAGATCTCTCTATTTGCCAGTCTTCTCTTGGCTTTTGATGTCTGTTGTGTGTCTGTGGGGCGGGTTTTTTTGCTGTTATTATTTATTACTGGCAGTAAGAAAGAGAATCTTTAAAGTGGCAGAAGAAAATGAGAAAGTTGAATATTGCAAGAGACAGAGTCACTTGGCCCGTGGGGCTCCTCTGGTGGTGATGATTGGTGCAGATTTGGTCCAGGCAGAGCAATAATCCAACTGTCCCTCTGGGGCATTGACACAGATCTCTCACCCCCAAGGCTAGCAGAGACCTTTGCAAATGATGGCATCTTTGTAGTCACAGGGAGGGGACATGTTTTGAGCCTCCAGCATCATCTGCAGCTCTGGGAACCACTGTGCTTCCAAACTAAGGCATGGGGCTGATGGACAGACAGACAGAGATGGAACCTGTTGTTTCCCCCCACCCAGCGGCTGCAAAGGCATCTGTGAACATGCACAGCTCCATAATTGTGTGGGCCAGGGCAGAAGATCTGGCTGATGCTGCAGCAGAAGCAGAAGTCAGGCTCACAGAATGGTTTGGGTTGGAAAGGACCTTGAAGATCACCCAGTTCCAACCTCCTGGTGGGCAGTGATGCTTTCCATTAGACCAGGTTGCTCCAACCCCATCCAACCTGCCCTTCGATACTTCCAGGGATGGGGCAGCTGCAGCTTCTCTAGGCAACCTGTTCCAGCCTCAGTGAGATGTGTGGATGAAGAGCCCAGGTGTCTTCAGCAGATCTGCTGTCTCCAGGAATCATACGTCAAGTCCAAGGTCTGCAAGTATTTTAGTTGCTGGTCTTGGGGGAAAAGTAGCAGGTTTGTTTGGATTCAGGTAGATATGGAAAAAACTACTGTTGATAACAAGGAGCTCTGAGAAAGAGGAAATAATGGTACTCATGAGCTGTGCTTTGGCCTGTCTTACACTGAGCCATCTCAGAGGCATTTGGTCCATGCAGACACAATCCCACATTTTGGTT